GGACATGCAACAAAGGTACACGCTCGAGCGTCAACTTTCCCGCTCGAGCGTACTGTAAAAGTACTGGATGGATGAAATCTCCGCTCGACGAACGCTCGACGCCCGCTCGAGCTTGAGACACATGATTCCACTCGAGCGCCTAATCCTCCGCTCGAGCGGACTGTAAAACAGTGCAGAGATATTGGATGCTCGGATTCCACGCTCGAGCGGAACTTCCCACGCTCGAGCGGAAGCGCAAAATCTGGGAATTCCAGATTGCACCTCCAAGCCAAAACCCAGGTTCAAAAGCATCAAAACCGATCTTCTTGGGCTGAATTTCTAGAAAACACTTGTAAACATATAGAATAACACGGTTCAAAGCTCAATTTTGAGAAATCAAAGCCCAAGGGTGTTTAATTCAAACTCAATTTCAAACCAATTTCATGAACAATATGAACATGCAAACATGCATGAATTCAAATCATTTTGAAGCTCCAATTTGATGTTCTAAGGAGCCACTTGATCCCAAAACAAGTTGAAAACATGGACCATTACAAAATTATGAACATGCATGCACCATTTTACCATGAATTCAACTCGAAAACTCATTAATTCAAACATGCATGCATGAAGTGAGCTTCAATTCACCATTAATGAACCAATTCATGACTTAGCTCTACAATTAGACATGAACCATGCAAGAACAACTCAAAGACACAATTAAGAAGATGAATGATCTACCTTAGGTGTAGAATTAGGAGTGAGGGAGCTCAAATATGCAAATACACTTCAATTTCCTTCAAGTCTCTCAAGCCAATTCACAAACATGAACTCAATTCTCTCTTAAAGCTCTTATCTCTCTCTCTACTCGGTGGAACTCAAGGAAAAGGCTGATCAAATGTTGCTCCTAAGTGAAATCAAGTCTTAAGAAGGTCCAAGTAGTGGGCCACTAGAGTGACATTTGTGTAATTACGGCAACCATTGCAATTTAACTCATTTTAATCTAATTTGATCATACCTAATCAGTTTTTTGATAATTACACCATAAAATCACATAAATCATGATGATCATGAAACATCAATCAATTCCCGGTTCGGCCGCCGATAAGGCCTTCAATTAGCAGTTTAAACATGGAACGTGAACAGATCAAATAAACAATCAAACAGATAGAATACAGATTAACACTCATACTCGGTCAATTCAGTTCCAGTTTTCAGTCAGTCAGTTCAGTACTTTAATCAGCTCAGTTTAACGGTAATCAGTGTTTATCGGTAATCTATCAGTCATTAATCGGTAAACAGTATGAGGGTTGTTACATCAACAAAAATTGGATATTAGTAATGAATTATTATCCTTTTGGGACCAAATTTTTTGTCTCAAAAAATAAACTATTTTGAGACCAAATTATTTTATCCCTAAAAGTCTATTTTTTAGTGACATTTTCAAGATTTTGTCGCTAAAAGATTTGTTTTAACTTTTTAAGACGACCTTTTAGCGACTATCTTCGTGACAATAGAAATTGGTCCCTAAATGTCTTTTGCAATAAAATTCTCACTTTTAGAAACCAAAACTTTTGGTCTCTAAAACTCTTAAATGTTGTAGTGGTAATAGAGTAACGGCGACAACAATAATGGTTAAAGGTGGCAATGGCAAAGATGGTAATATAATATAAGAGTGGAGGTGAGAGCGACAATGGTAGTTGTGTGGCAGGGCGAGTTAATGATGATGTTGGTTATAATTGGCCACAATGATTTTGGCGATGAGATAACAGTGTGTTTAGTTTCAATTTTCTGAATTCAGTTTTCTGGAAATTACAAGTTTTTTATTTTTCGTATTTTTTTTTGTTTTTAGTGAATTTTTTAACATTTTAAGCAATTTTTTTAAAAATTTTAGATGCACCTTATTTAGATGTATCTAAAAAGTAAAAAATTTGTGAAAAAATATTTTAAAAAATTAATAAATCCACAAAAAATACGAAAAATGTATTGAATTTTTGTTTTTTTTTGTTTTTTTTTTTGGTATTTAGTAATTTTTTAAATATTTTCTTTTTCATAAATATTATACTTTTTAAGTGTATTTATGTTAAGTGTGTCTAAAAATTAAAAAATTACTTAAAATATTAAAAAACTTTATTGAAAATAAAAAAAATACGAAAAATAAAAAAGTTAATTTTCTGAAAAGTGTTTTTTGGAAACCAAAACCAAACAAGTTAGCAATTGTGATAACGGAGGTAAAAGTAAGGGTGGGTATTGTGTCGTGTCGTGTTTGGATCGTGTTATATCGGGTTTGCATGTCAAAAGTATGAACATGAACATGACACGTTTAATAAACGTGTCATATATGCAAACATTAACACGACCTATTAATAATCGTGTCAATCTGTCGGTGACATGATTGACATGAATAATTTTTAAACCTATTTATTTGCCATGAGACGACACGACACGACACGACACGATTGACCCAACAAAAAAACATGTTTAAGAGATTGAGAAGCAAATATGGAAATTTTTGTTTGGAAGGAAAAAAAAATTAAGAAAACAAAAAAAGTTGTGTTATATATTAATTAATTAATATAAATATCTATCTATATATACACATATACTTATATATATAAAAGTTACATAGGCCATAATCAAGTCATTTTCGGGCCACGGGTCGTGTTCGTATTTACAATTTACATGCTAAAATAAACATGTAAACGTGTCATTTTCGAGTTTTGTGAGTTCAACCCGAACATGGCCTGTTTATTATACAGGTGAGCGGGTTGTGTTACATACATATTCGTGTCGAATAATGCTCAATCCTAACCTGCTAACTTCGTGTACGGTTCACCCCCTCCCCAAAAAAAAAAAAACTTCATGTACGGTTCGAATTGTGTCGAGAATTCCCACCCTTAGGTAAAAGCAAAGGTCGCAATCAGTTGCGAGTACTAGTAGAGTGACAATAGTTGTGAACGTGATGGGATTGTTACTAGTAGAGTAACAATAGTTGTGAACTTAGTGGGTGCTGCTTGGGGATTAGGGTATATTTTTCTAGATTTCAAGTTCAACTCTCACTAGATATATATTATTAACTTCTTGGGATCACGCCCGCGGGCTCTATGCAAGATTTGTTCAATCCATGTGAAGGGAGCGCTTTGCGTGGGTCCCAAGATTAGCTTAAGTACGCGTAAACTGGTTTGAACACCCACTCACAAAAAAAAAACAAAACAAAACAAAAACAAAAACAAAAACAAAAAGAGCAACAATAGTGGTGATAATAGTGGTGGTAATATTGGAATAATGATGGTACGCCTTAATGGTGACATAAATATAAGTATTTAAAAACTCAACATTAAACTTATTATTTAAAATTTAAACATATTTTTAAAAGTATTTAAATGTTTAAGGGATTATATTGTAATTATCAAATGTGATTAATTTATTTTCAATGACTAACCAGACTAAAAATTAAAAAATACCCTCCCCATGTATAATACAATGTTTTTGCCTATAATTTTTCTTTTTAATTAAAAAAATCTCACCTCGTGTGACTTCGTGACTAGAATAAAATTAAATATAGCAAATAACCTTTAAAATTTACTTACGATGTTCACCATTTAAATTTGTAAAGAGAACGAGAAATGAAGAGAAAAATTAAGATAAAATATTAAAAAAAGAATAATTATTTTTCCTCTGATTATGATTTGAAAAAGAAAAAAAAAAACGAAAGTAAAGGGAAAATAATTTTCTTTAATTTGGTTTTTTCTAATAGTTTAAGCTAAAAATTTAATAATTTCCAAATCAAATTGAGTTGCAACCAATATTTTGTTTTTGTTTTGGTTCCCTATTTTCTCCATCACTTTTTTTTTTTTTTTTTTTTTTTTTTTGTTTTTGTTTTGTTTCCCTAATTTTTCCAACACTTTTTTTTTTTTTTTGCAATTACACCCACTTTGGTTGGTATCTCAACAAAATCCAAGCATAGTCTGTGGTAAATCTTGATCCTTGCAATTCTTTGTATCTTTATGTAAAATTAAGATTGAATAGTAAAAATAGTTGGCATTTATATATCTAATTTTATCATGTCTTGTTCATTCATACCATTTTGGTTTATGGTTCTAAAATTGACAAGAGATCCAATAAACTTGTTGACGATTACTTGAATCCTTTGCTATCATTATGGCACATTTTATCTAATTAAAATTGCTTATTTCCACTCATTGCAAAAAGTTTCATTTTTTTTCTTTTCATTTCTGTGCACAACATCTATACCAGTGTTGAGCAATAAACAAACAAGAATACATTCTTCTTCTATGTTGAAACTGGAACATTGAACATAGATTATTATTTTTTAGATGTTTCACCAAAAATTGAGAATGTTGGATTAAAAAAAAATACGAAAATTGAGAGAATGGGGTAATTCAAAAAATACTATCAAACTCCAAATTTATAAATGAAAAAAAATTGCTATAAAAAAACTACAATGGAAAAAAAATAGAAGCAGCTAGTTTCTCAGTAAAATCATTTGATGTACTAGTTTGTTACTGTTGTAAAATCAAATAGCTAGTTTGACAATAAATTATTAAAAAAAAGGGTTGGACTTTTAGATTGGGGAGGTGCAATTCCGGCCCATTGGGCTATCATTCATTTTGATAATTCAAATCGTTTATTTTGTAATTCTTTACATTATTCTAAAAACAGAAGAAATATATATATAATAATCACAATCTCGTCATTTTATCATGTTTAGGTCATGAGTATTTATTTATTTATTTTTTATCAGCAAAAAGAAATTTTATTGATAAAGAAAGTAAAATACATGCGAAACTTACATCAACAAAGAAGGGAATTGCAAAAAATATCATAACTAACCAAATCGATCCCAACTAGGTTGGCACCGATGAGGTAGCACAATCCTATGCTAGCACTAAACCCAAGATTGGTGAGGAAACAATTAGAAGAAACAAAAAGAGAGGAACGGAAAAAAACAACATATAACCAGAGCACACCCATAGCCAAGCCAGTAGCAACATCATATCCTAAACTGAGAGATCAGCAGTACGCCACAAACACTCCCAAATCCCAGACACAGCAGCAAAATCAGCAACCATCTGGACTACACTAACATACAGTAACGCCATCTGGTCTACAACAAAAACAGCAACAACTGAGCAACTTTGCACCACAACATTGCAGTAACAACACTTCCTCAGCACCAGCAAGGTCCAAGCTCCAAACCTCTCAACTGCTCTTGTTTCTCCAGCATAAGTAACCCAACAAACTATAGACCCCTTCATATCCAGTAACACACCAACAACAGTACCCAGCAACACTTTTATCCCAAACACTGTCTATCTTGATATAAATTAATCACTATATCTTGAACTGAGTACTGCAACCCTGCAATATTACTCTTTGCCCAAAAAGCTATCCTAGACTTCTCTAAATCTACCAGCTCAACAAAATTAGGAAGTCTCCCAATGAACACTTTCTCATTCCTCAGCTTCCACACTGACCACAACATTACAAGTGGCACCAAGTTCTAGATTTTCCTCTCATTCTTCTTGAGTTTCACCCCAACCCACCATTGTAACAAAGCTTCAACTGTACATGGTACCACCCAACACATATCCCACTAGTTTACTAATTCAGACCATACCCTCCATACCAGTGGGCAATGAAGTAAAACATGACTAATCGCTTCAAATGCATTTCTGCATAATGGACACAAGACACTACCCTGATCATCCAACACACCAATCCTATGTAAAAACTCAATAGTCTTTACTCTTCCCCTCCAGGCTAACCACCCAAAGAACTGCACTTTTGGTGGCCCACAGACTTCTACAGCCTTTTAGCAACACACAGATCAGGTCCCCTATCAACTTGAAGCCACTTTCACACAGATGCCACCGTGAACTCGCCTGAAGAATTCACCCCTCAATGCAAACAATCAACCAAATTGTCATTCTCGACAGGGCCATCATTCAACCAATCTCTCAACCTGCTTACCTCTTCTTCTTCCCAAGCTCTTAATTGTCTTCGAAACCTTAAATTCCACTGTCCTGACCCTGCTCTTTGCTGCCTATACTGCATGACCGAAGCCTTCTTGTCCACTGATAACTGAAACAATCTTGGAAATTCCTCCTTTAGCACTCTATTGTTGCACCACTTATCAATCCAAAATTTAATTCTTTCCCCATTCCTAGTACTTACTTTTGCATTTTCCAAATAGAACTCTACCATTAGTGGGTTATCTTTAGCAATACCCTGCCAAATTGGAGAAACTCTACTTTCTACCCTTCTTGCAGGCCACCACCCTTTACCTTTCTTTCCATACATACTGCACACTATTGATTTCCACAATGCATCATCCTCAACACCATATCTCCACCACCACTTCAAAAGAAAGTTAGCATTCATATCACTGATGCTCTTCACCCCTAAACCACCTTGACTCTTGGACTTAGATACCTCCTTCCATCCTACTAAATGAACCTTCCTCCTAATCTCGCTCCTCTCCCTCCACAAAAATCGAGCCTGTAGTTTCTCAATTGATTTCACCACTCCCTTAAGCATCTTAAAAATAGAAATGTAGTACGAAGGTAAACAACATACCACCGATTTAATCAATGTTAAACTACCTGCGAAAGACAATAACTTCATTTTCCACAAAGACAACTTTTTTCTTACTTTATCAATTACTGGTTGCCAAGTTGACTATCTTCTCGAATTAACCCCCAAAGGTATGCACAAGTACACCAAAGGCAGCTTTTGAGTTTTACAATTTAGAACTGTTGCAAAATCTGACACTTCCCTATCTGAAACACCTATCCCACACACAACACTTTTATAGAAATTAATCCTCAGGCCCGACATCACTTCAAAGCACCTAAGCACCCTTTTAATCGAAAAGATCTCCTCTAGATCAGCTTCACAAAAAATGATTGTGTCATCGGCAAACTGCAAATGTGATACACTCATCCCATTAGACCCCACATTAGCTCCCTTAAATAGCCCCAACTGCTGAGCCCTTGTCAACAACATGTTCAGACCCTCAATCACTAGATTAAACAAGAACGGTGAAAAATGATTCCCTTGCCTTAATCCTTTTTGGGGTGAAAACTCATCCGTAGGTGAACCATTTACTAGAACTGAAATTCTAGATGTAGATAGACATTCCTTAATCCAACCAAGCCATTTCTCCCCGAACTCGAAGTTAGACAACATTGAGAACAAAAAACCCCAATTAACTGAGTTGTAAGCCTTCTCAAAATCAAGCTTTAGAATCACACCTCTTTGTTGTGACGATTTCCACCATTCAATAACTTCATTATCTATCATGACACCATCTAGAATACACCTTCCACCTATAAAAGCAATCTGCATCTCACTTATCACCCTAGGCAAAATCTTCTTTAATCTGTGAGACAAAACCTTCGCCAGAATTCTATACATCGAATTCACCAAGCTAATTGGCCTGAAATCCACCAAATCCACTGGGTTGTCTTTCTTTGGAACTAGTGTGATGAATGAGCTATTCAGCCCATAAGCCAATCTCCCATTCGTATTAAACTCCTTCATGAACTAAAGAATGTCATCCTTCATTACTTTCCAATTATTCTGAATGCATGCTAAATTGAACCCATCTAGCCCTGAAGCTTTATTCCCATCACAATCTTTGACAGCTGCCCACACTTCCTTCTCCGAGAAATTTGCTACCAACTCCCTAGCTGACCCATCAACTCCTATATTCACAAAAGTCCCTTCTAACTCGGGCCTACCTCTCCACCTTTCTAAGTATACTTTACTGAAGTACCTAAACACAACCAATTTTACCCAAGTAGGATTTTTAATGACCACCCCATTCTTCTTAACTGAATCCAACATATTTTTACTTTGTCTTCTACTTGCCATAACATGGAAATATCTTGAATTCTTGTCCCCATCTTTAGCCCACTTTAATTTAGACTTTTGATGCCACAACCACTCTAACCTCCTACTGAACTTCCAAACTAGACATCTCAAAATTCTCCTTTTAGTACTCTCCGAGTCCTGAAGAGGCCCACCTTCAGCTTTCAAATCAATTTCATGGAGCTCCTCCTCCGCAACCTTTAGTTGATGCTCAATATTGCCAAATGCCTCCACATTCCATTTTCTAAGATCCAACCCAAGCTTGGATAATTTACCCTTCAGTCTGTATCTTGCCCATCCTTGAACATTAGCCTCCTTCTAGGATTTCTTGACCATAGCCTTGAAATCTGGATGAAGAAGCTAGGCATTTATGAGTCTGAATGGGCGAGGGCCTCAATTCCTAGCATCTTCCATAAGCAGTAGTGGGCAGTGGTTAAAGACGCTCCTTGGAAGACCCCAATGATGAAATCGAAAGACCTCCAACCACTCAGGCTTCAATAAAAATCTATCTATCCTATTCCACCGCTCATCATCCACTGAATTACACCAAGTGAAACCCTTACCAAGCAATGGTAAATCAGACAACTCCATCTTCTGAATAAACTCATTAAAGTTGGACATTCCTTTGTCTCTCTGCAAATAACCCCTTATTTCACTCAAATACCTTACTTCATTAAAATCTTCCAATACACCAAGGTTTCCCAAAAGATGGTTTCAACCTAATCAAATAGTCCCGCGGCATACTTCTACTCCTTCCAGCATTAGGTGTATAAATGTTAACAATGGTATAGTCAAAAGAATGGCTAAACGTACCTGATAGCAGTAAGAAATTCCTAGAACTGCAACACTCAACTAGCTCAAAAGCACCTAGGTTCCAAACACATAGCAAGCCTTCAGCACTGCCATCCGAATCCACGGCCATAAACTACATCGAATCAAAAGGCCGCACCGATTTCACGAACATCTCATCAACATTCTTTTTTTTTTTTTGTCTCCTGCAATAACAGAAAATCTACATTTCTACTTTTGACCAACTTCTTAATTTTACCCCTCTTTTCTCTCAGACCTAACCCTCTAATATTCCACAACATTATCTTCATCTCAACAAACAAATTACACCTGAACACCCCTTTTAACGGTCACTCAAGATAGAGCAACCTTCTCTCATTCCCCTACTTTTCCTTGATCATTAAATTCCATTTCCATAATTCGATTAATGACCTCAAGCTCCTTACCTTTGCAATTGATACTTAACCTCTTCCCCATCTGCATCATTGTCCAAGCTTCATCCCGAATCTACTCCCTTCTATTCACCCCTATTTTTTGAGATACTGAAAGGGATAGAGCTGACACTACCGTTCTACATATGGCCCCCTTCAAGAAGCTTCTTGCAAGAACTGAACTTAATATCCTTCCTTTCTTCTTTACCAAATTCTTTATTACCGATCCCCTTTTTCTGTTGCTAGTCACTGCCACATCTTGTCTACCTCTGATCCTTCTTGTTGACTCATTAGTATCCACAGGATCTTTTTATGACTCAATAGCCCTTTGGGCTATACCATCTCTCAAATTATTTCCATCCAACGATTCCACCAAATGCGCCTTGGGTAATACCACCTCCAAATGAATATTAGGCTGGTCCTTAACAGGCACAAAAATGCTTCTTAGAAAGCCTTGAGTCATAATATCACCATCCACCTTCTGCAATCCATCTGATTCTGCCACCCATGACTCTTCAACTTCCTCCACTACAAGATCTTTATTGCACCCTCCATCTATTGATTTTTCCAATTCCACCTTTGTCACTTTAGTAGAAGGCTCAACCACCCCATCGTTACAGTTTCCCATACCTACCACATCTTCACTGCTACGGTCCAATACCCTGAACAACTTTGCTCCATTGTCCAATCCATTGCTGGCCAACTGTTCCATAACATCCACCTCATCACCTTTCTTCTCCCCCACACTCTTCACGTTGCCTGGTTTATTATTTCTCCTTCGACCTCCATGGTAAGAATTCTGATCAACCTCAGTGTCGATTCCTACCTTCGTATTGTCACTCCTACTAGTATTATCCACCACACTATGTAAAGCCTCCACTGCTTCATAGACCTTAACTGGAAACAATATTCCGTTGCAATTCAAATAGATCATCCTAGTAATGTTTCCCATGGACTTAGTAAGAATTCTAACTCGCCTAAACTGAAATGATCTCAACATGCTGGTATCCTCATCAATTTGTACTACGTCACCCAATACCCTTCCAATACTCTTGAATATGTTAACACTCCATAGATTAAGAGGAACACCAAAAAAATAAATCCACACGCAACGATCATAGCCAACAGACTCACTTTTGCTTGCTTCTGATAAAGAATCACCCCATTCAAAAATCTACTCTTTTAGACTTGCAGAACCCTCAATGAATCTTATGTTGAGGGAAAAGTCAAGACTGCCAAACTTCATCCCCCTTCCTGTACAAGAACATCCTTATAACCATGTCTCTGAACCTCCTCCTCGAACGCATGAAATGAGAAAAATGATTTAAGCTTGACAACCACACTTTCATACAGCCACTCATTACCTTCCTCCTTCGTAAATACTGTGATATCATCATTTCCTTGCTTCTTCCCTCAAGAGACTACCTCCGCATAGGAACGCATTCCCCTCACAGTCTTCCTGTCTTGCCTAGGAAAATTATCATTTCTTTTTCTCATGGTCATATCAGTCTTCAATCTCCCCTGATTGCTATTGCGAGCTCCATTGACCTCTTCTTTCTTTAGAAAATTCCTTTGCTCAACCTTATTAAAGTCAGCCTTCTTGACTTTAATTCTCTTATCATCCCACCAGGGCCCATTACCCTTCTAAACTGCTACATTAGCCGCAATCGGATAATCATATCGAACAAACCCGAATCTTGGGCCTGTTTCTTTCCTTTTCTTCATAAGAATGAACACATCCTTAACAACACCAAACTTTTTAAACAGATCGCACAAACTCCTCGAATCTATTTTGTCAGGGATGTCATCAACAAACAAGGTTACTAACCCTGATTGGACTGATGACCTTTGCAACTTCCCACCCCACCTCTGACAGAGCACCGATTGCCACCATTCTATCACCATTTTTCTTCGATTAGGTTATGAGTATTTAATAGACTTAATTTTTTTTTTATGAATGATATATACGAAAAGTTTTACAAAATAAAATTTTAAATTATTAAAGCCGACCCATGAGATCTGAACAATACTCTCCAGTTTAATTTTATGACCGGAGGCAATTTGTTCCCTAAAATAATAACATCAAGTGTAAGCTATGCCAAGTCTGGCAGTCTGAACCACCATGTCAATTGCCACAACACATTTAGAGAAAATATTATTTTGTCTCTTAAACTATCACGCGTTTTTTTAATTTGATTATCATATTTCGATTTATTTCAATTTAGTACTTGAACTTTTAAAAAATTGATCAATTTAACCCCTACCGACACATTCCGTCTACAATTGGACGGAATGTGTTGAGACGGAATGTGTTGACATGGTACCAAAATTCATTTGGAATTTCATTTTACCTCACAAACTATACCTTAAAAATCAATTTGCCCCCTAAATATAAAAAATTTAAATTTAAATATTTAATAAATAATTTTTTATCTCAATAATGAAAAATTAAATTTTAAATAATATATACTTTGCGAAAAAATAATAATAAAATATAAAATTCTCATTTTGAATTATTTTGAGACTATGAAACATGGATAATTCGACAAACATGTCGTACCTGTACTGGGTATTTACCGACGTATGATATTTTTGTACACATAGATACACAAAATATGTACTCAAATTTTTCTTTCTTAATTTTTGGCCTACCCAGACATATCTAATATATATCCAAGCCGTGCCCTACCTCAGTCGAAAATAATATTTTTCTTCTACTACAAAGAAAAAATTCTTTTTATTAAACTTCTTTTTCATTTTTAGTTTTGTACTTAGTATGATTTTAAAATTAGGTTATAGTTTATAAGTTATTTAATATAATAATATTTAATTTTATCTTATACCTGTTCTTTTGGCATTACGTTTCAATTGTATGTTGGATTTAACAAATTAAACCATTTAATCAATTTTTGTATTATTTCAAATTAAAAATAAATTTTTTTTTACAAACATATTAAACCATATCCGTACTTGTATCCTATTTTTTTAAGATTTTACCATGTCGATGTACTCGTATCATACCAATACCAGTACTCATACCCATACTTGTGCTTCATAGGTCTCAAATTATCTTGAGTTGATTCTAGATAAACTTATTGGGCCAAAAATTTCTTTACTACTCTATGTGTGTATGCGCGTGCAATTGTAACTAGTTTATTACATAAATTAATTTCAATAGAATTGATCGAGTAACAATAATTTCAAAATTGAGTGAGAAAAAAATTTCAAAATTCAGTAAGTAACCGGTACGGGTACGACATGTTTGTCGAAGTATCCATACTTCACAGTCTCAAGATAATTCTAAATGAGGACTTTTATATTTTTTTTTTAATTTTTTTGCCAAGTATATATTATTTAAAATTTAATTTTTTCATTATTGAGATAAAAAATATTTATTAAATATTTAAATTTAATTTTTTTATATTTGGGGAGCAAATTGGTTTTTAAGGTATAGTTTGGGAGATAAAATGACTTTAAATGAATTTTGGTGCCACTTTAGCACATTCCGTTCAATTGTAGACGAAATGTAACGATAGGGGTTAAATTGATCAATTTATTGAAAGTTCAAGTACTAAATTGAAATAAATTGAAATATGGGAGTCAAATTGAAAAGCACGTGATAATTTAGGAAGCAAAATGATATTTCCTCACACATTTAAGATATTAGTTTTGGGTAGAGCCAATCATATTTGGGTGGAGATGCTCTTTCAAATTTGGTATATTAAATTTTTTTGAAACTTTGAACGATAAATTGATATGTCAATTTGATACAAAAGCTTTCCATTTGGTATGTCAAATTTATTATTATATTATTTTAAAAATTTGAACTCTTTTATTTGTGTAACATTGGTCTTGTTTTATTTGAAGAAAAAAAGAGAGAAAAGAAAAGGACAATGCATGAAGTGGTCTTCATGTCGAAATTGACGTGAAATGATGATGTCAAAAGTCATGTCAGCTTTTGGCACACCGGGTGAAATTCATTTGGTAGGCCAAAATAGAGTGTCTTGTAATTTTATAAAATACTATTATAAAGGATGAAACACAATAAATCCCAAATAGTGATTTTACAAACTATTTGGTCCTTTAAAGGCCACATTCTAATGTAAATTACATAAAGAGTCAAGCATAAACGCTCGTGTGTTATGTGTTGTAGGACAAATATGAGTTTTTCCATAATATTGAAATTACTCAATGTAACACTTCAAAAAAACTCCTTAGTGTATTTTTCTAAACGTAACACTCTAATGTAACATAAAAAACTCCTTAGTGTACTTTTCTCAAACGTAATAACGTAACATTATAACAAAAAAAATAAAAATAAAAATTCTCAATGTGTTTTTCTCGAATGTAATACTTCAATCAATATAACACATAAAAACTTCTTAGTGTGCTTTTCCTAAACGTAACACTTTAACGTAACATACTAAAAAATCTTTTAGTGTACTTTTTCCAAACGTAACACTCCAATCAACGTAGCATACAAAATTGTTTGGTGTATTTTTTTTCAGATGTAACACTCTAATGTAACGCACTAAAAAACTCATTTGTGTACCTTTTTCAAACATAACAACGTAACATTCTAAAAAAACTCTTTAGTATATTTTTTTTTTCAAACGTAACACTCCAATCAATGTAACAAATAAAAACTTCTTAGTGTAATTTTTCAAACGTAGTACTCTAATGTATTACTCCAATATAACAT